GAAATATTTTTAAGTTTTTTATGTTTTTAATGAAAATAAATAAAAAATAGTCATAAGTTAGTAAGAACCCTAATTCTAATCTATTTTATTTATTGCAAAAAATATTCAAAATTAACCCTAATTAAACTAAATTAATTTGTTAGTATTTATTTACAAAAATAATAAATTAAAGGTGAAATTAATAATAATAAAAATATTTTAGTTTTCTGAATTTATTATGAAAATAATTAATTATGTTAATTAAATACTAATAATAATAATTAATAATAATAATTAGTAAAAGAAAATAAAAAGGAAAGAATGAATGAACCAGGGGGTGCTGGGCCTAACAAGGAGGTACGTTTGGCAATCTGAAGCCCATTATCCTCAAGCCTGCTTTGACTTGTGAGATTCTCCATGGTGCGTATTGACTGGGAGTATGGTGTTCCTTCTCTCGTGGCCATTAGATCTGTGCCCATAGCCACATGGTGCTTGGATGATTGGAGGCATATGGTAGACACCTCCTGGAATGCTGCATGTAATTATGTGAAGAAAAAATAGAAATAAGTATTTTGGGGGACCTGGGACTCGAACCCAGGTCCCAATGATTCCAAGCCAGCACATCAACCACCAAGCCATTTGCACGCGTTTGTTATAAGAATAATAAGCAAACATTATATTAAGAATTAATAAATATGCTGTAAACAACATAAAAACGCGCGCTTGTTTTGAACTGACCAATGAGACATCAACAGTTCATCATCTTCCTCGCTGAACCTGCAAAATCAACATTAGATAGCGGGGGTTTTTAACCCCCACAAACTGTAATGACCAAAAATAGCGAATAGAGCTGTGATAAATATAAATATTTCGCGAATAGTCCAATGTGTTCGTCTGGTTCTCACAAATCCAACCATAGGTCTCACAAGGCTTAATTTTTCCTGTATTGCAAAGCCCCAATTTGAAGGCTTATGAACCCTAGAATTCGTCCATGGTAACTTGTGATTCTGTACACTATAATTCAATTAACTTATGCTATTAGCTTCATATGGATTCAAGCAATGCAAAACCAACAAGAAATCATGTTAAATGCGCATGAAATAAGCAATATGATTCTGAAAAAAATATGCAAACCGTGGTTCCGTTCTTGATGATTCCTTGAGCTTTAACGCTTGATTTTGATTGCTACACGTTCCTCACACTTCCTGCAATGTGTTTGAATCAGTATAATGCCTTGAATTGGCTTGGAATACAAGAATCAGTTTTGACTTTTCTTTGAATTTTCTTGAATTGGTTATGGCTCTTTCTGCAGAGATTTCACATGTGCATGATTAGGGTTAGTTTGTATATTTATAGGAGACTGAAATTAGGTCAAATCTTTGAGCAAAAATCCATTGGAATGATGATGGAATATTTGATTGGAAATCATATATTTTTGAATCTTCATGATTGGAAAAAGTTGCCAACTTTGGAGATTCTTGCATATTTGATTTGCACACGAAATTGCCAGCATATCTTGACCACTTTTGCTTCACAAAAAGATTGAAAAATCAAATCTTTGTATTTCCTACAATTTAAATTAATTAAATGAATTAATATTGATAAAAAATCCAATTAATTAATAAAAAATAAGAAAATAAATTCAATTAAGCTTGATGGGTCGTGAATAGGCCATGGATAAAGTTTCAAGAAGAAATTTGAGGCCCATTAGCAAAAACAAGGTGTTTTGAGCAAAGTTGACTTTTGCAAATTCACAAAAATTTCCCAACTTCTCCAATGCATATCTTGCTCAAGTTTGATCATATGAACATGTTCTTGGACATTTTGGAAAGGTATTGAAGTCCTCTAACCAATTCCTTTGGTCCCATGTCATTTGGATTTACCAATCTCAAGTTATGGCCCTTGACTTAAAGTGCATTTTTGTTGACTTTTGAAATTAACATATAATATAGAAATTGATAACTTTTTGTGAGAGCATTTCTTGGACTTGGAATGTGAAGATGAATTGTAGGAAATATCATCCCCTTCAAAATGAGAATTGGATGGGATTTTTATGATGAACCATGAAAAAGTTATGCCCTAGTCAAGATACAATTGACTTTTCTACTGTCCAAAAATAGTTACTTTTTGCATCTTGATGATTTTTGAGCCATGCTTGTGGAATCATGATCAAGACTTGATCAAATGATGATTGTGGACTCAAAATAAGATGTTGACCAAAAATTCTGACTTTTGACTGTAAAATGACCATTTTACCCCTGCAGTTGACTGTAGGTCAAATGGAGCTTTTGACTGTGCAAATTGGCACTGTAAGTCTTGAAACTTGACATGTAGGTGCTTGAGAATGCATATAGGCATATGAGACTTGATTGAACCATTGAAAACCTCAAATTCCATGAAAGAACCAAAACCCTAATTTCAGCTGGCTTAGGAGGTGGTTTGAACTGTGCAATCCTTGAATAATCTTGAACCATTTGAAGATGATTCTTGACAAATCTTGAAGAATATGGGAGGGCAAATTTTGGGGTACAACAGTTACGCCCCTTTCGAGGTGGATAATACTAGCATATACAAATAGAGTTTGAACCACCTTTTCAGTGTTCAAGTAAATTTTCCAAATTATGGTGTCAGAGTCATTAATTGGTGAACATTGTATCTTATGTTTATAATTGACATGAATTGTCATAGGGAGAATCATATATGAAGAGGAAATTTGTGGCTTTATTTGATGTCTTGGGTTTTCTTGACACATTTCCCCTTTTAAGGTGTTGTTGAAGAAATAAAAGAAAAGGTACATACAAAAGCGTTTGCTAGTGTAAGACAGTGCCAAAGAAGAGATGCAAATCATCTTTAGTGAGTAACATATAAAATTTCTTGTTTTCTTTAGTGTTTTTTCTAGAAACCACTTTCTTACCTTGTTTATTTTTTAGCGTGTATATAAGATGACGTTGAAGGTGTGAAAAACATAAGAAAGCGTCGGGGGGGGGGGGGGGGGTTGAATTGGGTTTTAAATCAAAAATTTTCTTTTAAAAATATTCCCCTTTTAATTAAAATACTTTTTCCTTCACTCTTGATAATAACAATAATTAAGAACAGGAAGTAAAGAACAAGGTATGTGTATAGTAGTTCACTTGAAAACTATTAAGCTGGTCTAGTCCATCTTCCAAGGTAATTTCGCCTCTCTCAATCAAGGACTTAATCCAATAATACAACTGATTATTACAATGCACAAGCTACCCGTAAGTGACTAACAACCTCTAAGATACACAAGTCCTAGACTTCTTAAGGATACAAACCTAATCGGTCCCTTAAGTAAAATCAAACCTCTAAGACACACTAGTCCTAGACTTCTTAAGGATAGAGACCTAACCGGTTCCTTAAGGAAATCAAACAATTGTTTGAATACAAGTTTTTTCCCCAACATTATTGCTTATACACAAGCTGAATATGTAAACTATCTTAAGAACAATGACTTAAGAAGTATGAAAGCTAGGAACAACGCTTTGTGCATAGATATTTCATTGATTGGTAACTTTCTCTCTTAGTATTCAAGCCTTTATATATCCAATAAAATAATATATCCGTTGAGGGGTACTCTTGGGATTTCCAAAAACATTGGCAGCTTGAGCAATCATGTGGGGGACAAGATTGTGCAGCACGTCTGTCCTTTCATGGTAGTGGAATGAAACATTGATTATACCATGTACTATTTGTACCATGTTAACGTTATATTCGTTCCTTCTGCATCTCAGAGGCTTCTGTGAGCATGAGTTTAGAAGCAAGAACATAACACAAGGTCATCATAACTTTAAGTCTTCATAGTCTTCAGAACTGCATCTTTAGAGTCTTCATCACTTGGTCGTGAGAACCTTTTCTTAGAACCTTGGGTCTTTAGAATATCAAGTATTTAGAGTCTTTAGAACTTATGTCTTCAGAGTCTTTAACACTTGGTCTTTAGAACCGCGGGTCTTTATAACTTCAAGTCTTCAGAGCCTTTAGAGCTTCGTCTATCAAAATCTTTAGCACTTGGTCTTGAGAACCCTTTGTCTTCAGAAATATTAATCTTCAGCATCTGGACTTCAGTAGAAACTTCGGTCTTTAAATATTTTGACTGGTTTCTTTAGACTTCATATCAGAGCCTACACTCCAGAGTCTTCTAGAGTGTCTTACTATTGTTCATCAGAACTTGTGTAGCGCAGAAGCGGAATTAATTCTCCTCTAATGTCTTGGCCACACCATCCATCAGAAGAAGAACCTGTTTGTTAAATACTCAAAAATAACAAACATTAGAGTATCAAAATTTTTCATACAAACATACTAATTTGTTATCATCAAAACTCATAGATAATATTGCATAACAAAATCTTGTTCTTACAGACATATCCTTAGACGATGCTACAAATGAAGAGGACTTCTAAGGTTGGCCTTTCCCCCGTTGGGGCCATCAATATGCCAAATACTATAGGTTTTCTAGGCACGGGGTTCTATTTTGGTGAGTGTTCCCTCAATAATTATATCCTGTCCCAACAAAAACCAAGGATTCTCCTAATCACCCTACGACAGAGGGTGCTTTGCACTTCCCCCACTGAACGTGGTTGGGAGAATTCCTTCCATGGGTCTATCTATTGAAATGTTCCATGGTCGCAGACCATCTGAAAGAAAGTCTCAATTAGTCACAAAAGACCAGAGAAGGTTTGATCATTACCAACTCCGGCTACCTCAATTGATAAATTTATTTTTCATCCTGGTTCTAGAGTGGTTGAGGAGTTTTGGTCCCTTATCTCAGACAAAGATTATACCTATTTCTCTAGAAAGACCGAGGATGTTTGTCAAGTAGAGTTAGAAAAAATTACACATCAAGCGTGTTAGTAATCCTCCATCTTGCATTTGATGTCATTGGGAGAGGAAATATCTTTTGCCTCACCGCCTTCTAAAAGAGAAGGAAGTTCTGTGGGAATGTTTGAACGCTATAAATATCAAGTGAAACTGGTATCTGGAGAAGCTTACAAAGGGAAAGAGGTATGTTAAGAGAGATAGGAACTGATATACAAACTTTCAGGTACCCTCATCAATTAGAAAAGAGGGTTCAATCACTTGGCCAAAAGATGAAGGATAAGGATGAAGCTCTAACATCCACTAGGCCATCACTTTCCATAGTAGAGGATGTTGTTGCTGAGGATGAACCAAGAATTGGAATCTTTCAGCAAGATAGTGAAGAAGTTGTAGGCATCTCTGAGTAAAGCTCAAGAAGGTTGGAAGAAAGTTGAAGACAGTCTTCGGGAGATGCATTTACAAAACCTTGAGCTATCACAAGAGTATGCAAATTCGGTGGAAGACAATTTCTCCATTCTATGAGTTTCTTTTTAAAATACCTTACAAAATATGGAATTTTTCCGTCCCTTGGTGCAAATTTCATGAGAATAAATCCATCCTGACTAAGAGATGGTTGACAGGAAAACAATATTTGTTGTGGACGAGTTGATCTCATAGTAATCTATTTTTTTGTTTGGGATGAACCTAGGCGGTGTAATATTTGTTATAATTAAATTCCATAATTGTCGCTTCACATCATTTTCTTAATTCGTTTATTTACCATTATTTTTACCTGTTATGGTGTTGCTTTAGTTCCCAAAGTTTGTTTCTCTAGGAATTTGGTGATGTTCGGGGTTGTGCTCAGAAATTTTATTAGTCGTCTCTAGGGACCGTTCCCGCAAGGGTCAGTACTGCTTCCTTTCCCCCAAGTTTGATCTTGGTCTGAGGTCAACGTAGTTTCTAGCTACAAATAGAGGGGTGAGCCCTGATCACCACTTTGTTTTTTTGTCTTTCTTTGTTCTACTTCTACTACGGTGTTTTGATTACTTTGGTCATATCCTTGTAGCATTTTTGAAAGCACTCTTGGATCTTGCATATCCTTGGTGATCATAAAGAACAAAATTTGTGATTTATTCTCATTGAAAAAGATATTACAAAGTTACTACAAAATGATGCATAATATAGAAAAAAGAAAACTTTCTTATGATTCCTTCATTCATATTTGTCCTTTCTACCTTTTAGATCAAAATGATTCATGCCATATTTGCCAGTCTCTTACTTTGACAACTTCATCACCACTTATTTCAGCTGCTTGGTGAGTGAGGTCACATTGAGTTCCATCATATCCTATTTATATTTCCCCTTTAGGTTGAGTTTCAGAGCCTTGTGTATCCTTTGTGCTCCTAATAAGTTAGAACATATCATAATTGGCTTGTCGTGAATATTGTTATACTTCATTTTCATATGGATCAAAAAGGCCACCATATCCAACATCCTTTCAAAGGGTCTGTCTAGTATGTAGTTGTCAACGATTTTTCAATAAACCATTAAGAGTTGTAGGTCAATCGTCTTGTGTGCCCCCTTCCCCCAGGGTGAAAATCAAATCAAAGTACCATAGGGGCAAGTAACTTTGTCGTTGAAAGCTTGTAGGATGACTCCCTCTTATGACCACAACTTCTCCCTTTTAGCCCAAATTTTAAAAAAGCTCCACATACACGATGTCACAAGAACATTCCTTATCAATGTGGATTCTAGACACATCAAAGTTGGCTATCATCACTGTTATGACCAAAGGTAATATATCATTCGATATTCTTCCTACCTTTTCAATATCTCAGAATATTAGAACACGTCTCTCTGGTTTTTGTAGCACCTTGATTTAATTAGAATTATTTTTACTTAAATAATAAGGTGATGTGGTGTATTTACATGAATTGGTGGATTTTGATATGGTGTGATGCCTTTATTGAGGACTAGATGCATTAGAATAGTGGGAGTTGAGGTTACATGGGTGTATGACTAAATGTGTAGAAACATGGGGGTGTGTAGTATAATATGAATTATTACTATTATTATTATTATATTATTTGGATTATTATTATTTTATAATAATAATCAAATAATTATTTAATTGGGATAGTTATATTATTATTGGATTATAAGAAGTGATAATAGAGAGAAGAAAGTCAAAACGTGAAAAATAGAAGAGAAGCGTAGAAATGAGAAGAGGAGAAGAGCACTAGGAAGCTAGGGCAAGAAGATTCATCGTAGGAATCAAGAGCCAACCAAAAATATGAGGTAAGGGGGGATTCTAATACTATAATGGGTTTCCTAATGATTAGGTATGGTAGAATTTAGGTATCATTGTTGTATGTTTTGATTTTCTCCCTAATTGGTATTTTTGGGGTTTTCTCCCATTGATGAATTTTGATGCATTTTGGATGATTGATTGTGAATTTGGTGATGTGTTTTGGTTAGCATTGATAGGCATATGTTGGTGAATAATTAGCATGTTTTTAAAACACTATTTTGATGGAAAATTGAGAGTTTAGGCTTTGAAGCATGAAAAATTCGTATTTGAAAAGTTGTAGGTTTTTGACTGTCATCGCAGGGTAACAGGTTACCCAGTTATGGTGACCGGTTACCACATAAAAATTTGGAAACCAGAGGCTATTGTGTTATGCAGTAACCAGTTACCGTAAATGGGTAACCAGTTATCGCGAGAAATTTTAAAAATACAGAGTTACTGACTTTACATTAACCGGTTACCACTAGAGGGTAACCGGTTACCACTGTAGCAGACAAATTTTTGGAAAACTTTGAAAATCAATAACTTTTGCCTCAGGTGTCCGTTTGACACGCCGTTTGGACTGTTGAAAAGATAAAATGATTTCCTATCTTATAAAAACTAATCATAATGCATTAGTTAATTAATTCACCAACATTAATACCTTTCTGTGTATGGATATTTGATCTATATGCCACGATGTATGTGTGGTTAAGTGCGATAGATGTCTTGATTTTGTGACATAATGTACATGATAATGATGATGACGATGGCCTGTAATTGGCGAAATTATGATGAGTAATAATAATAAATGCAAGGTATTTTATTTCATTATAGTGTCTCATACATTTATAAAGTGAAGGCCCGTATTAGAGAGCGAAGGCCTGTATTAGCGAGCAAAGTTGATTGCCCTAAATTGGCATTATTGCGAAGAGGGTTTTACCCTGTTGGTACCACATGCATATGTGTAGTGTCAGTCTCATTGCATTGTTATAATTATTAGCACTTGATGTCTTGAATAAATACAATGATGAATACTTGAATTACTATCTGCTCATTATTATGCTTCCTCTTATATTGTTGTGATATCTCACCCTTTCTGTTTGAATTTTACCTATACGTGGGTAACATGCAGATGATACGAAGTAGCTCGAGGTTGAGGTTAGCTGAAGAGTCACCTCAATTGCGTAGATTGATTCGGTGTCTGCTCTGATATGTAACACTTGGGGGTTTTGCATTTGTCTTATTATGTTGGGAGTAAACTTTATGTAACTCTGTTGTTTTGAATTTTCCTTATGTTTATGATGATTTTTTAATGATGAAAAATACCACTCATGTTGAGGGTTGAGAATAATTATCTATTGATGTTTTCCGTTGCGAACAAATGCACTGGAGTTTAAGACTTATGCACATCCGATTTGTGTTGCGTATCCTAATTAGTGAGCATGTCTAATTTACGAAGTACGTGACATCAAATTTTAATGTTGTATTTTAGAAATCAATTTACTCTGATTTTGATTAAAATTATCGACAGAGAAATATGGTGTTACAATTGGTATCAGAGCAGGTCGATCTGTCTGGCCGGGTTTTTGAGTTGTTAGTGTATTATAATAGTGGAATATTATCGATGTTTTTCTATCTAACCGTTGTTTGATGTTGTGATGTGAAGCAGAGCAATGACTGGAAGAGACAATGGTGCACTCGCTAATGCGTTGCAGGCTTTGATAATGTCGATGGCTGGAATACTGTCGATGTTTTTCTATCTAACTATTGTACTAATGATATTAATGAAATATAGCTCAACTCTATTACTCTTAATACAACAGATTGATTCCTTCTTCAAGGAATATGCTAGATGTCTTAAGTGGTGAAGCTCTTTTGTCTACGTCTTATGACGAATGTTATAGATTGATTAAGAGTATTATGGCCAACACATACCAATTTCCTGTCACAAGAATCACTGCTAACTTAACCCAGAAGAGACTTGTTGAAGTTTATGAAGTCACTGAGACAACAACTCTTGCTGCTCAGGTGGCTCAAATTCACCAAATAATGAAGAACATGATGACTCAAGAAGTGACTAAGCCAGAGCCTTTGAAAGTGGTTACTAATGCGTCTGGAGTTGCTTGTGTGTACAATGGATGAACATATTTGTTTGAAGAGTGTCCTATAAATCTTGTTTCAGTCAACTATGTTGGCAATAATGACAACAACAAAAACAACATCCCCTACAGCAACACATACAACCTAGGATGGCACAACCATCCAAATTTCTCTTAGATTAATAATTAAAATCTACCTAACCCTCAAGCACCACAAGTTCCTCCTGGTTTTTCAACACCTAACTATGTAGTGAAAAATCTAGGAAATAACCAATTGGAAAATGTTTTGAAGTCCTTTATTCAAGAGGCCAAATATCAGTTTCAAGCACAAGGAGTAAGCATTAAGAATCTATAAAACCATGTGGGGAAAACTGCTACTTCTTTATCTTCTAGAAACATAGGTACACTCCCAAGTTCCACTGAAACTCCAGCCACTACTTCTGCAGTTAAGAATGTGGGTACATGTCAAGTTATGAAGCTTAGAAGTGGAAGAGAATGTGAAGGATCTGTTTTAAGAAATAAGGAGTCAAGTGGAGAACTACCTCCTCTAGACAGTTCTGAAACTGAAGAAAACCCTACTAAACATCATTCCTCACCAGTACAGTAAGAGGAAGATGCCACCAACAAAGCTATTGGCCTGGCTTATAATCTTAAGAAGAAACCATAAGTCATGCCTGAAGTTGACAATGTAAAGAAGTATGTTCAAGAAAGACCTTCACCTCCTTTTCCTCAAAGGATTAGGAAGGCCAATGAGGAGCAACAATTTGGATAGTTCATGGAAATATTGAAGCAACTTCACATCAAAATGACAAAACCTTTATTCATATACAAAATAAGATTATAGCAACCAAGAAAACTATAGTTGTGGTTGTCGAGCTTCATAATGATATAAGAAGACATTGGCCCAACGTGATCAAATATCATCAATATCTTCTGTTGAGTATGGTATTTAGATGTTAAGCTCCTACAATTAGAACAAAATTTAAATTATGATAAGTTAAAAACAACAACATTAGTTTAACAAGTGTACACACACACA